CCCCAAAACCCCAAAACCCCTTAAAGTAGATATCATTTAAATTGAGAAGTATTGTAATTATGAAATTAAGAATTAATGATTTATAAATATCTTTTTCAATATCATTTGTACTTACTACATTTACTCTAATTCTGTTTGCAAAGTAGCAATTTTTTTTCACTAACTTTCAAGCAGAAGTTTAGAGTAAAGTTAATAGAATTAAATTTATCATTTTTAATGATCTCTTTTCTTTAATTTAGCTATCCTACCATTTTTTTTCATAATATTTTTAGCTTTATCCTCAATATCATTTATAGAACCTTTAAGACCTTTCTAATATGTAGTTATAATTTAAGAAGAGCCAATTTCATTTGAAAGAATTCTTGATAGATTTTATTAATGCATTTTTTATTTGATCTTAAGAGTTTTGTTTAGCTTATATTTTGAAAGTTGTAATTTTTAAGATTTAAGTTCCTAATGTTTAATCTATTGCTTATAAACTCCCGTATCTTCATGTAAATATTATTTTACTTTTCTTATAATTTTTGAAATAGCTATTACGTAAATGTTGACAATTAGAAAAATGATTGAAAATACTATTGGGAAACATCCTATCATCATTTTAAATTAAAATTCTATGCTATAATTATCTGAGAAGATTATCATTTTATACAAAATAAACTGGAATATAACTTCATTGAAAATTTCTAGATTATTAGTTCGCTAAATTTTGTATGGTTTGCTTAGGATAATGTAAATTATCATCAGAATGTTTTGAATTAGTAGAAATATAAGTTAAAGTCCCTAATTGTCAGCAAAAGAAACAAGTGTTATACAATAAATTAATCTTCTTGCGATGTAAATTGAGGTAAAGCTATAACTATCTTCTCTAATATTTTCTATAATTGGCTAGAATTTTTATGTAAGAGTCTCTTAATTTGATTTGTATATCACATTAGTTAATAGGAAAGAAAAGATTGGTAAAAGAATGCATATCCCCATGAATTTCATTGACAAAATAAGCGCAGTTACATCTATAAAAGTTGATTCTCTCTAATAAAATAGTATTATTTCTTGGAATTAAATAAAAGTTAATGACTTACCTAATGATTATTAATTAATGAACAAATAAACAGCTCTATTACTGATTCTAAGATAAATCTTAAAATCGAATTGAAATAGGTAGAATCATTAAACTTTTTAATGGCCAACTTAAATCATCAGCTAAATAATAAGATTAGAAGGAAACTAATATTAAATCTTACCTCTTGATTGGAATTTTAACGAAATTTAATACATATACCAAAAGCATCATGATCATCAGCAAGCAGTAAAAATAAAATATAAGTCCAAGATTTCTTATCAAATTTGTTGAAGAGTAGCCCATTCGTTCGTAATATGGGTTGTATGTGGAATCATCCAAACTATCTGAATCGTAATCAAATATGAATGAATTAATTTTTTCAACGTCAAAGAATTAAAAACTAGACACATCTAGTATAAAACTGTAGAATATAGCTACATTTGCAGGTGTATTTATACCCATCAAAGGGATATGTGTAATCAATTGAAAACTATTAATCATCCCCCATAACTATTAAATACTTTGAGACCTAAAATAAAATTTAGCAATATCGACTTACAACAGAATATTGACAACAATATTTGAGCCCATTATACTTTATAAAGAAATTGAAGTGGATGTACCAATTATACTTAATAGATCTTTTAAGCCCTAGCTAATTTAAGGTGGTATATACCCCTTAATCTGATATCCCTTTTACATCATGAGTTTTTCAGTCTTATCATAGAACAGGAAATTCATTTTAAAACTTACAATCAATTAATCCCATTCCTATTAAAAATTTGATGAAATTAATAATTACTGAGTACTTTGATATGCTTTCAGGAGAGGTAAAATTCAATTGAATTACTAGCTTCTATTTATTTATTTCCTTTACCTCAAAATTTAAGTTAATATCCTTATCTTCTTGATGAATCTTAACTTCAATAGCTTTTGATATCTTATTTTTGAAATCATTTATGTTATCTTAGAGTTTTTATCTAAATAGAATTATGACCTATCCTGTATCAGTAATTTTGATAATCTTCGCTTCTATTTCGCCTATTATCTGATATTATTGAGATCTTTTGTAATCCTCTAATAAATCAGTTTCTCTAAACTATGATTCTTATAAGGTTGATTTGGCAGGAATGATTTAGATTTTAAAAGTATATCTTTTTTGCATGCTTTACAAATTATTATCTTTTACAATGATAGTAACTGTATGCTTCCCCACAACTGGCTAGACTGGATTAATGAATAGTTTCTTTTGACTTGCATAAAGAAACAAGCTGGCTTATTTTCCTATTATTTAAACAGTGAAATTGTCTCCTTCATCGTCTCTTATTTCAGGAAGATCTACAATTTTCTTAATTCCAACAGTAGCTTCAATATCTTTCAATGATGATAAGAAGTATGGTGCAGTGTTGTTTATGAAAAATTAGCCAATTTAGCTGTAGACTTCAAACTTAAATGAGTATGTATTATATGTTTTAGGCTAGAAAGTATCAATGTCTGCTTCTACTTTTACAGAGAATAGGAATTCATAAACACCCATTTTATCTAAAGAATCTACTAAAAAGCCAACTTAAAAGTCTGATAATTTATCAGTAATAATAATCTAAGACACATCTTATTCATTTAGATATCGAATTATACTGGGAGTTTGTTTAAAGCAACTTTGATGTGGTGCTAATATTAATCTGGGAATTGATAAGTATATTATATCAGTAGAAATTTCATGTCGAATCGAAACATTCTGAATATCTTCAAGGATTTTATATTCTAGTTAGCAAGCATTTGATATGTTTAATATGAAAGTATCTTGGAAAATAATCCACATTTTATTAAGATCTGCTTATTCTGAAATATTATAGGTGATTTTTATACTATAAAGTCCAATTAAGATAGTTTGATTCTATTTTAATGAGTAATTTACAATCATAGTGCTATATTCAGAGGTATTGTAGTTCAAATCGCCTTCATTGATTGAGATTCCTAAAATATACATTTTGTTGATTGTTACTTCATCACTACATTAGTTTGCAAGGCTAAATATTGAAAAGTAAATTTCGCACAACTCCCCTATAAAGCAATCAATATACTGTGTTAAGTTTTATGGTGTCCTCTACTATAAAGGTTGAAGCTATGATACATTAATTTGATTGCTAGTTTTATTCGATTGGTTTTCCCATAATGTAATCTAATATGGTAGAAGATTATGAAATTCTTAAAGGATTTGTTCTTATATCATATTTTCTGGAGTAGTATAATTGCCCAATTAAGTTTATTCATAATAACTAAAAGAGCTATAGGTATAGGGAAAATCATTAATTGAGTCATAATCTTCAAAAATATTGTAGTAAGTATTATTTGATGATAGCTAAGATATATATGCCTTTTTAAAACCTGTAGATTCTTATACTTATCCAAGATGAAAGTAATCTTTTTTAGCAGAAACATATTTAAATTAATAAACTTAGGTTGCTTCATATTTCATTTAAGTCAATATTTATTCAGAAAGTATTAAAGGATGAGCTATTGGATCTACCTTTAAAGTAACAATGAAAATATGATTAACTTAAGCACTTTAAGCAGTAGCAGTATAGACTAGGCTTATATTATCAACAGCAGCTATTTTAACACCAATACACTCAAAATTTCTATCAGGGTAAGTTCTGGTTGCAGATCTAATTAGCACATTAGGTTAGCGAGAATTTAAAGAGAAGATAAACATTCCCATAAGTGCAGAGTCATAATCTAAGCTTTCTATGCATCCAACTGAATAATCAAAGTTATTATACATTTTTCGAATAATAGCATTAAACTGTTCTGCTTAGGTATTAATGCTTAAAATATTCACATCAAAAGTATCATAGTCATCGAAAAAAGCTGCAAATAAATCATATTGGTTATCTTAAATATAT